ATCTGCCTGCGTTATCCTCGAGATCGAGAGATTTTTCCGGGGAACAGTCGTCGTTCGGGGAAAAGTTGCAAATCCGGAGAGGATTTTTTGTGGAGAAGTGAAGATGTTTGAGGAAATTTGTGGAAAGCGGGGGAATTCTTTGTAGGATGGGCTAAATATCGTTTTCTTTTGTACCAATATTGAGAAATTTGGGAAATTCACAGTTGATTGCATTACAGAATCTAGTCAAATCAAATTTTCTTGCACATATCTTCAAGTCTTTATGGTGGACTTAAATTTGGTAAGAAAATAATTTTCGATTGTCTCCTTCTTCAGTCTCATTCAGCTCAATTTTTTATTCGAACAGTGAATATTTGCGTATTCGTTCCTTTCACCGTTTTCCTATTTTTCTTCGTGATTTTTTGTCGAGGAGAAAATTACAGTACGTAACGAAAGTTCGATAATTTGAAAACTGTGATATTTTCATAAGTTACTAATTACATCGAAGGTCGAAAATCCTCAAAATAGGAAAAAAGGATCAGTATATAAATCAAACGATTTTACAACCTGAATTCTAGAACTTCTGTTACCTATTGTGCCTCCAAAACAGGAACAAGATGAATCTAAATCATTTTCAAGGAAAACACCAGTTGTCCATCGACTTACCAACGAACTAAACGATATCGCAAGCTCAAACGTTTAAAAAAAGTATTCACTCCTTCGTAAGAAATATCTTTGTTGAAGCAAAATGTTTTCGACATCCTAGAGTATTGGTAGGTTTATGACACGTCCGATAAATATGGTTCGGGGATGCCTGCGAACACCACAGGTATAAAAGTGCACACTGTCACGTTTTATAAGCAGTTCTAATTGTGCGCCCGTCTTGTCTACATCTGTCTGAACATCTTCTAAATATAATTATTTACCTTACTCCGCACGAGTTATTTATTTAACCCTCTATGGGCCGAATATTTTTCTTGACTGTAAAAGAATTTATGTAACGTAAAATTAGGAAATATCGACCTATAAATACAGAATAACAGTGAATTTAGCAGTTTCGACAATTTTATCATAACGAATACATATTGTAACTTTGAAGTAACAACGGTTACCAAGAAAGTTACTGGTTAATAAGGAGACATTATACAACAAGACGTTTATGCCATTTTGTGGAAGAAAGTTCAATTATTTAATAAAATATCGATATATTAGTATGTGACTTGAAAGTTACACGGGCCCATAGAGGGTTAATATAACCCCTCAACAATCTTTACCAAGACTCACGCATCAGAACCTCTCGGATATTAAGAAGTCAACAGTCCCAGATCAAAACTCCCCATCTTATCTTACCCGTACAAATTTATATAACATTGAAAATGATCACACGCTCCTCGCCTCGTCAAATAACCTGGCAATTCCAATTTATTTTCGCACAAAGTATCACCTGTCGATGGGTGCGTTGCGTCACCGCTATCGTCACCTCCCGTATGTCCCTTTTAACGCCGCTCACGTGTTGGCCTGTAACGATTACATCACCGCGATCCACGAATCACGCCTGAGAAAAAAATCGTTCGATCGATCGGTATGTATAGTAAGTACGTACTCTGTTCAGGCAAGCGAATCGAACGATACGAAAAGAATCCTCCGCGCGTGTGTGTGTCCTTTTTTCTTTTTTCTCTCTCTCTCTCTCTCTCAAAAGGTAAGCTCGATCCATGAAATTCTTTCAACAACCGAAAGGCATCCCGGTTGAGGATTTTTTCAAGTAAGGTCGCGATAAATTTTCCGCCGCGGTGCACGGTCAAATCGCTTCCCCGTCGGCATTGTCCGGCAATAAAACTTTCTCGAGCGTAACGGCCGCGCTAATATAACGAGCATCCTTATTTGCTTGTTTCTGCTCGCTCTCAACGCTTCGACACCGCTCCCTACGAGGTGTTTATGAGTTTATTTATCGTTTATTTATTGCATCTGCCGTGGCCGGGGCTACTGTGCCTCTCCGTACTCTTTCACGATTATGTCTTTTGTGTGATTGACGTATGGAAAAATCGACACTTTCTATGCCTTTTGCAGGAAATTGTTCGTTTCACCTGGCGCGTATTTTTCATTTAGTCGCCGCTTTTGCGAGATTCGGAGATGTTGAGTTGAAGTGTTTCTTTTCTTTTTTTTTGTCAGAGGTGAAGGAAATATGCTTGTGCAATTGAAAATTTAATGCGAATTTCTTGTAACGCGGTAATAATTCGTTTCTCGAGTTTCTAATAGTAGTGGATTATTTATTTATGAGGATGAAATTTGACATTTCCCGGAGAAAGAATTGGTATTGGGTGTTCCGAGAAAGGAGAACAGTTTTCTTATTTTACGTTTGACTGAAGACCTCGAATCTGAAGTTTTTTCAGATTATCGATTTTTCAGGAATATTGAAAAATCTTCAAATACGTGTTTCACTATAAAAATTTCAAATCTGAAGTTTCTGAATTTTTCTACCTTTGAAAAATATTCAAAAATCTTCCTACATAGAACTATAAAAATTTCAAATCTCATTTCTCACCCAGTCTTTAATTCAAACTGTTCACCATTAATTAAATTCTATATTTTCAAATTAATATAGTTACAGCTATAATTTTTCACCACCCTACACTCCGCAATTCATAAAAAAAGCCATCAAACTTTTGCTTTTCAAGTGTGAGTGAATTTTCACCCAAAGGAAAGGTTTGTTAAAAATAATGAAAATTAGTCCCAATTACAATTCTCAATTAAATCTACTCGCTGACTTTGTCACAGTTAATCATTTTTATGGACAATTCAGATTTTCACTGTACGATAACAATAAATTCTTCGTCAACGTGTGTCACGTGCGTGCAATTTGAAAATCGATTTTTCGTAGCGACCTAAAGGCTTGCATCTCATGAACGCGGCGAAAGTAACGCGTCATTGTTAGCGAGCGGCGTAATGACAGAGCGGCGCGACGCCCGGCGTAAGCGCGTCAAATCGGAATTGTCGTTAGTAACTGGTCCAGGACTTTCGCGCATTAGCCGCGTTTTCTATTCGCGGGAAAATCTCCGGTCAATATTCATAGTTGGTTCGTGAGAGAACAGCCTAACGAACGGACACGTTACTTTTTCACCTGGAATCGAGTTTCTTATCCCCCTTAATTAATCATCGATTCCGATTTCCTCTATTTATCTTGTCACACACACACACACATACATTGCAGTTTACACTATTCATAATATCTATAATTAATTACGAATTCTACTATTCCGATATCTTACAGTTGAAATTGTCGAACCGATCATAGTTATTCAATTTCTAAATTCTCTTCCTCTAAAATTCCCTTCTCTCTTATCACGACACCAGCTGAATTAAAGAAAGCGTACGATGTTGCAACTTTTTTTTATCATTAGCTATATTCATCATTGTCGTGACCCAGCGAAAGCTCGTAGTCTCATCATTCACCACTCCTCTGGAAGCCTTTCTATCTCAGACAGGATATATACAAATCCTGATACCAAATTTTCTTTAATTAATTTCTGAGAATATTTCGATTCTCTTTTTTCAGGATATATCCAAATCCTGATATCAAATTTTCTTTAATTAATTTCTGAGAATATTTCGATTCTCTTTTTCCCTCAAAGATAATGATAAGTAAAATATAAACAGCCCTAACACCAAATTTCCTCTAATTTCACAGCTATTCAACTATTCTTCAAAAAATCCCTAATAATTCTTCCGTTCTCTTCTTCCAGGCTAAACTCAAATCCTACTACCTAATGCTAAAATTTTCTTTAATAAATCCTTGATAACATTTCAATATTTTTTTCTCTTGAAGATAACGATAAGTAAAATATAAACAATATTAACACGTTAAACGCCACGCCGGTCCCTAGGGACCGGCCGTAAACTTTCCGTTCACCCGGCCCCCCAGGGTCCCATCGATTTTTGTCGATAAGTCGTCTTCTGTTTATAGTTCGCCCGTCGCGCATAGCCCACTTGACGGTCGAGTTTGGCGTGAACGGAGAGGCAAGCAAAACAGGCTGGGCGTTTAACGCGTTAACACCAAACTTCCCCTAAATCCATATCTATTCAAATATTCTTCAAAAAATCCCTAGTAATGCTTCCACTCTTTTCTTCCCTCAAAGTTAACGAAAAATAAGATACAAGCAATAGGTACTGGCAATCTTCCGTATAATTTCTTACATTCACCGTTACATTCATCCAATCGAACCCCAAGACCACTGCTTCTCACCTGGCTTTTTACCTCCGCCTAATTAATCGCGATTTTCAATTTCCTCTATTTGTCCGGGGACAGTTCTCCTAGAAAGCTCTCTCTCTCTCTCTCTCTCTTTCTCTTTACGACGACCGAAGACGGGGAACAAATGGGTAACGTAAATCACAGAGGACGAGAGGAGCGAGTCTCTCGAAGTTAAAGGGGGGGCTGGAAGAAGAAGAAGAAGAAACAGGAACGATTTCAAGAATTAACAGGGATTTAGCCCAGCAGCCGTTTCTTCGTTGCAGCATTAATATCAGACTTGGTGGTACGCGAGATCGATCTCTCTTTCTCCTGGTGTTCAGTTTCAGTTATCGTTTGGTAGATCAGAGACCGACCAAGGACGCTAGGCTAGATTCAACGATTACTCGTTCGCTAACCAGCGTAAGATCTCTCTCGATCCTCGAAGAGGACTGACGGATCGATTTCATTATCCATGGAGAGCGAGCTCGTACGTCTTCCCTTGGTTGGACCCCTTTCGCTAGCCCTGTAGACCAAGCGTGGCGATAGCAATTC